TCTCTCTCTCATATTACACACACACGGGGGCAAAAGACCTGCATACCATATAGTTAGATGTACACGCTTACATTTTTGTTTTAACTTCAAGTTTTCCATCAATGGTTTGATAAAACTTGCAATGAGCGTCTCCACAAAATATGATTTCAATTTGGTGTGTTGTTAGGTGGGCGAACTTATTGGCGGCAGCCAAAGAGAAGAGGATTATGAGGTGCTGAAGCAGCGGTAAGCGAAGCTTTTGACTATTATACTCTTCGTCTCTGCGTAATGTATATATACACATTTGAAAAACAAAACTTGTTGATATATATAAATCGTTTCTACTTTCTAGGATTCTGGATGTGGGCCTGCCCGTGGAATCTTACGACTGGTATCTTGACCTGAGAGCCTATGGGACTGTGAAGCATAGCGGTTTTGGGCTCGGTTTTGAGAGGATGATCCTCTTTGCAACCGGGATTGATAACATCAGGGATGTAATCCCTTTTCCCAGATATCCTGGTAGAGCTGACCTTTAGACATTAAAACATTACCCAATTGTTAATTAATCTTTTAGGAACAAGTTCTTGTGAAGATGTCTGGCCTTTGTGAACATTAAGAATAGGTATTTTCGTGTTCTTTCGCTTACCTCGTCTCTCTTTTTATTGATTGTTTATGTTTATAATATGAAAAAAAATAAATAAAAATGAATTTGTCATGCGTCAAGCACTCTGATATGTTATCAGAAGATTATAACTTTGTTCACATTAATCATATTGGTTTGCAACAAATACAAAATAAATATTTAACTGAAATATAATTAACTAGTACATCACCCGTGTATTATACGGGTGCTTGTTAAAAAATTATTCTTAAATTTTAAAACTATATGAGAAAACTTATATCATATAACTACTTGAAATATAAATATAAATAATTTTATTTCTCTAATTAATATTAAAATAATTTTATTATTGTTATAAAGATAAATATAAATTATTTTTTTTATACATACAATATGGATGTTAAATCGAAACTCATCAAAAGAAGATTAATTTGATATATTACATATGTAAAATTGATAAAAATACAAAAGTTATTAACTTTTAAAATATATATACAATTCAATAATTATAATAAGAAATGATATTAAAATGCAATTAATACATGTAACATGACCATAAATAATCAACATATTTATGGTAATTCGAACTTAATTATTTTTGGTTTTGAATTAAATTAAAAATTACCCAAGCTTAATAACGAAGCATGTAATTTTGCCACATAGAATTTTGAAACACCAGAAACAGCCACGTAGGCTCAGCGCGTTCTGGATTAATATATAAGGGGAGAGGATGTTGTTAATCAGGCTTTTGCCATTGCAAAACAGATGGGAGCTTTACTCCTAAAGAAGCACTCCGTGAAGTCTCCAAATTTCCAATCATCAAATTCTTAAAAATGTAAAAAAGTACAAAAGATATTGTTATAATCATATAATAGATGATGAAAAATAAACATTGACATTTACATTTTATTAAACTTTCATAAAAAAATTTCAATGTATTCTCAGAGTGATTAAAATTTTAAGAATGATTATAATTTGTCGATTTATCGATTTACTTTTTGCATGAGCATAGTAAAATGCCAATTGAATGCACCCATCATATATTAAATGTAAAACAAAATTTGATTTTATAAGTCAATTATGTATATATCATTTGGACGAATTATAATATTGATGAATTAAAAAAAAAATATTAATAACTTATTTGATGAAAGGGTGAGATAAAAAAGTATAAATATCATATAACGAGTAAATGTATATATGTATATATATATATATATATATTATAACTATTATTTATCAAAAAAAAAAGAGAACTATGAAAAAAATACAAATTAAATAATTAATATGCGCAACTACCATGATTAAATATAACATCATCAAGCAATAAATATAAATAACATATGAAAATCATAATATTATCATTTTATGTATAAATTAATATACAAAACACAATAAAAAAATAATTTCACAATTTTTTTTGTTAAATTTTTAAATTATTTTGTCTCATATTTTCTATTAATGAAAGTTTTATTTTTTTTTTGTAAATATTATTATTTGTACTATAACCCCACACACACCAAAAAAAAAGGGGAAAAAGAAAGATAATTAGGCAGGAAATGCAGGATAGAGAACCGCAGAAGCTGTGTCCCAAAATCGCAATGCCGAAAAATTTCCCAATTTCAGCCCTAGAAATTGAAAATTGACCTGATTTTAACCTCCACAGTAGTTTTCGCAAACTACCCTTTATAAGAAGCGAAAAGAAAAATAAAAAATAAAAAATAAAAAAAATTAAGAAGACTGTAATGGAAACGGCTTTTCCTCGATCCTCACTTCCAATTACTGTAAGCAATAGATACAGATATTGATATGTATACTGGAAGATAAACGACCATACATACCTAGGTGAAGGGTAAGCCGGAAGCCAATTTGTCTGATTTGCTGTATTCAATTTTCTTGAATTGTTGATCGCTCTCTCTCACTTGCAGTGTAACTGAAGTTAATCTTATCTTTTTTTTACTCCTTTTTCTTGAATTTTTGTTCATTATGCTTTGGTTAATTGTACGTTGTTGGGGTTGAGATAGTTGAGAACAATGATGGGGAGAGGGAAAACGAGGAAAGTCGAAAAAGGGGCTCTTGGGACGAGTCCCGATGGGGATTTATCAATCGATTGCGGCCCGCGTAATGTGCCTGCGGGCCCAGTGTATTACCCGAGTGAGGAGGAATTTAAGGACCCGTTGGAGTATATATACAAGATCCGGCCGGAAGCCGAACCTTATGGAATTTGTAAAATTGTTCCCCCGGGGAGCTGGAAGCCCCCTTTTGCATTGGATGTGGACTCGTTTAAGTTCCCCACGAAATCTCAGGCGATTCACCAGCTGCAGGCACGGTGTGCGCCCTGTGATCCGAAGACTTTTAGATTAGAGTACAACCGGTTCTTGGAGGAGGAGTGTGGTAGGAAGGCCAAGAAGCGTGTTGTGTTTGAAGGGGAGGATTTGGACCTGTGTAAGTTGTTTAATGTGGTGAAGAGATTCGGAGGATACAATAGTGTTGTCAAGAAGAAGAAATGGGCCGAAGTTTTTAGGTTCATACGTCCTGGAAAGAAGATATCCGAGTGTTCAAGACACGTCCTGTCTCAGTTGTACTGCGAGCACTTGTCTGACTATGAAGATTATTGTTGTCGATTGAACCAAGAGAAGGGCAAGGATTGCAAGCTTGATACGAGCGGAGGGAAAAAGTGTGAACCGGAGGTTGAGGTTCCAAGTGTTAAGAGAAGGCGGAAAAACAAAGAGGGTGAGAGGGTTGAAGTGCATAAAGTAGAGGAACAACAGGTCGATCAAATATGCGAGCAGTGTAGAAGTGGCTTGCATGGGGAAGTTATGTTGTTGTGCGATAGGTGTAATAAAGGCTGGCATATTTACTGTCTGTCTCCACCATTGAAGTGTATTCCTCCAGGGAACTGGTATTGCCTAGAGTGCTTGAATTCTGAGAAGGAAAGTTTCGGCTTTGTCCCGGGAAAGCAGTACTCAGTTGAGGCTTTCAGACGTGTGGCTGATCGGGTAAAGAAGAAGTGGTTTGGATCATCTGCTGCTTCATGGGAGCAGATGGAAAAGAAGTTCTGGGAAATTGTGGAAGGTTCTGCAGGGGAGGTTGAAGTTATGTATGGTAGTGATTTGGATACTTCTGTTTATGGGAGTGGGTTTCCTCGTGAAGGTGATCAAAGGCTTGCATCAGTTGAAGCTGATGTTTGGAAGGAATATTGCAGTAGCCCGTGGAACCTCAATAACTTACCTAGGTTGCTAGGTTCAATGCTTAGAGCTGTGCACCAGAACATTGCTGGTGTAATGGTGCCTTGGCTTTATATAGGGATGCTGTTCTCTTCATTTTGCTGGCACTTTGAGGATCATTGCTTTTACTCAATGAATTATCTTCACTGGTATGTAATGTCATGGATACGTTATTTTTACTCGTGCCATTTTGTAGGTGCTATATTTGTATTCTCGGCTTATATTTCATTCACTTACATGCTATATGATGAAATACAGGAATAGTTAGAAAGATTTTTCGTGCACGGTATTACAGTCAGTTACTTGTTCAATTGAGGGAATATATTCTGTTAGTTTTTGAACTTTATAAAGGAGAGGGAAAAATGTCGTTCAAATCACTCGAATATCAGCTTAGTTTTCAAAGTTATTGCAGGATGGTCTCTTCAAGTGTCATACATGTACAAGAATTATTGAGACATTTTGGGAGTTTGTTCTCATGTCTGAAGTGCTTTTTCCTATCTGTCAATCCAATTATTAGTTGATTCTGCTTTTAACGTATGGTTTATTGTGATATACTCATATTCGTAGTTAATCTAAGATTGTTTTCCATGTCTGGGAAATGCTTGAAAAATCGTGTTTCTTACAGTTACAACATCATATTAGTAGTGTTCTGGTAAGCTGAACTGAATAATTTAACGGGTTTGATGAAATTCTCTTCTCATCCCGCTGACGATTTTTTTTTTTTTTTTTTTT